TAAGAGCGAGGCGAATGAACTGGGACAGAAGCTACAAACTGCTTCAGAATTTTAGTACCTTGCAAGTCCACTTGTCTATTTCAACCACCCCAATAAACTAGGGATCTCTTTACGCCTTTTGGGTTGTGTAAAACTTCTCTCAGTAAAGACAGTCCTTTCCCCTCCCCGCCACAAATAACCCAGCACCATTTGGTACAGAGCATTGAGGAAGTACAGCTGGCCGGGGAGCTGCCGCTGCTCTGCTCCTGCCCCCCCACTTCCAGGCACGAAGCAGACTGGGAGGGCAGGGGAAGAAAATAATGTTACTTGCACCACTGCCCCCCCCCCAGTCCCCACCACCACCCCATCTGCCCCTCCACCAATCCCCCACACCAGCTCCACCTCCAGCCTCACCTCTGCTCCTTCGGCAGCTCCTGGGGCTCTTCACCCCCCTCTCCCCGGCCTGGGGGGCGGTGGGGTCCCCTCTCCCCCTTGCCAGGCCCTGTGCTGGTGGAAGAGGCAGGGGCTGGGCTGGCTGCCACTTGCGGTGGGGAGGCTGAGAGGGGAGGAGAAAACAGCTGAGCTGCCGTCACGTGGTTTCAGGGAATTTCCTCCCCCCCCCTCAGTATTTACAACTTTGCTGTTTCCTGGGCAGGCTGCAGGGACCCGGACACGCCCCGTAACCTCCACTGAAGCCGCCGCCTCCACTTGCATCCCAGCCAGCTCCCTGCACAGCATCCCTGTGAGGAGAGATGAATAACACCGGGACTTTTCCACTTGGAAAAGGGAGATGATAGAGATCGATAAAGTCATGAGGGGTGTGGAGACAGTGAATAGGGAAGTGTTAGTTACTCCTCATAACACAAGAACTAGGGGTCACCAAATGAAATTAACAGGCAGCAGGTTTAAAACAAACAAAAGGAAGGATTTTTTTCACACAAGGCACAGTCAGCCTGTGGAACTCCTTGCCAGAGGATGTTGTGCAGGCCAAGACTATAACAGGGTTCCAAAAAAAACCCTAGATAAGTTCATGGAGGACAGGTCCATAAATGGCTATTAGTCAGGATGGACAGGGATGATGTCCCTAGCCTCTGTTTGCCAGAAGCTGGAAATGGGCGACCAGGGCTGGCCTAGGGAAAATGGCACCCTGGGCAAATTTGCATTTTGGTGCCCCTGGCCCCTGTGGGCATGGCGTGGCCCCCATTGCCCCTGGCCCCTGTGGGCTCCCCATCCTCCCTTCACCCCTAACCCTTACACTGTGCCCCCTTTGTCCCAAATCCCTGCATTCCCCTCCTGTGCCCCTAATCCCTACAACCCCTTCCCTCCTAGTCCTGTACCTCCCTCCAGCACCCCTAACCCCTGCACTGTGCCCTCTTCACCCCAATCCATGCACCCCTTTCCCTCCTACCCCTGTACTACCCTCCTGCACCCCTAATCCCTGTACTCTGCCCTCTTCACCCTAACCCCTGCACTGTGTCCCCTTCACCCTAACCCCTGCCCCTGCTGCACCCCAACCCCTGCACCCCTAACCCCTGCATCCCCCTCCTGCACCCACATGGAGAAACTGACCTGGATGCAGTGATGGAGAAGCTGGCATTGCTGCTCGCTCCCCCACTGGACTGGTGCTCCTCTGCCCCGTGCACCCCTAGGGGGCTGTGAGGCGGGGGAGCGAGGTCGGGGCTCCCTGGGTGCAGGTCACTTTCCCCACGTGGGCTGCATAAGGAGAGGGCAGGAGAGCAGCAGCTCCTGATGCCTCCCAGCACAGCCCATATGTGACTGTGTGTTGTGTTGAGGGAAGTGTGTGAGTACGCTGTCTCATTAAGAAAGCACTCAGGGTCAGGAGCCTGAAGGCCTGTTCAGACACAAGCAGCTGCCAGCTAAATGGAAACCGGGTACATGGGGGGGGGGCACCCTGACATCAAAACCCCCCCTCCCACCCATACACCCCCACAGCAGACAGGAGGATGCTCCAAGTCAGGAGTCGCCAGGGGCGGCTCCAGGGAGAAACTGGGGGGAGGGGGGACAGGAACAGCAAGGGCTGCACACGTGGAGCAGGCCGGAGGAGGGGCACCCCTGCTCTGAAGGAGTCACCTGGCTTGACTTTTCCTCAAACTGCCCCCTGCAGCTCAGGTCCCTCTTCCCCCATACGCTGCTGCTCCGCCTGCCTGCCCGCTCTGCCAGCCCAGCTGGCTCTCGGCAGGTCAGGTGGGAATCAGGCAAACCCTGTGTACGGTGCCCCCTTTGGCGAGCTTCCCTGGGCCCCGCCCCAGCCCCAAGGCCAGGCCTGGGGTGACAGAAGAATCAGGGATGGATCACTGGATGATCACCTGTTCTGTTCATTCCCTCTGGGGCACCTGGCATTGGTCACTGTCAGAAGACAGGATACTGGGCTCGATGGAGCTTTGGTTTGACCCAGTCTGGCCGGTCTTATGTTCTACAATCAAAGCGGGGAAATCAGAGGGATGGGCAGAATTTTTGCAGGGGCCAAAGCATGTCCAGAGGAGGGTGAAACAGGGGAAAAAGGGGGCAGATGGGCAAAATCAGGGAGAGGGTGCAGGAGGTGAGGTTCAGAAAAGGGGAGATGCCCAGCCAGACAGTAGCACAGGGTGAAACCCCAGGACAGGGAGGTGCCACGGGGATCAAAGTTATCACAAATGGGGTGAGCCATCTGCCATGGGTGCCAAAGTAGGGTATGGGTGGCTTTGAGATCCTGGCTTGTCCAGCCCAGGACCTGCATCACAGCACTGCACAGCCCCGCGCCTGCCTACAGCAGCTCTTCTCTGTCTGCAATGACGGACTGATCCGCCAATGGAGCCTTGATTCAGGGAAATATTTTACACACATGCCATAAAACAAACAGATACTCTTCAAGTGTGTTTCTGATGCTTCTATAAATTCCTGCTCAATTTCCATAGGTGTCAAACTTCTGCACAGGGCATCAGAGCAGCTCACCTGTGCTAGATTGCCTGTTTCAGACTCCCTCTCCTGTCACGCATGGGAACTGCAGTTTCAGTCCTTTTATTAAAAAAACAGTCCCTCACCAAAGGCTCTTAAACAAAGTAAGCTGTCATGGGATAAGAGGGAAGGTCCTCTCATGGATTGGTAACTGATTGGATAAGAGATGGAAAAGGGGGATATGATAGAGGTCTATAAAATCATGACTGGTGTGGAGAAAGGAAGTATTTTTTCACACAACGCACAGTCAGCCTGTGGAACTCCTTGCCAGAGGATGTTGTGGAGGCCAAGACTATAACAGGATTAAAAAAAGAACTAGATAAGTTCATGGAGGACAGGTCCATCAATGGCTATTAGCCAGGATGGGCAGGGATGGTGTCCCTAGCCTGTGTTTGCCAGAAGCTGGGAATGAGTGACAGGGGATGGATAACTTGATGATCGTCTGTTCTGTTCATTCCCTCTGGGGCACCTGGCACTGGCCACTGTCAGAAGACAGGACACTGGGCTGGATGGACCTTTGGTCTGACCCAGTCTGGCTGTTCTTATGGTCTTAGTATGATTTTTGTGACAGTGTGTTTGGTGCTGTACAAACAAGAGGGCAATGCAATAGCTACCCTCGGGCGATTGCAGGCTAAGTCCAGCTGGGATTTCTCTGTTCCTTTATCCATCCATCTGCAATGTATGTTTTCCTCTCCATCCATTAGCTAGGAGTTACAGCCAATCCTAATCCTCAGAGTGTTTATCTCTGTAGTACAAGGGCTCTCCCTCTATGTTTTATGGGCTGCATTCTGCTCTCAGCTACACCAGCGCAAGAACAAGGAGGCTAACTTCTGATATGGATTTACTTCAGATTTACACCGCTGTAAATAAGAGGAAAATTTGACCCTTTCTGTCCAGTGTGTAAATCTCCTCTCAGCAGTGATGGACAGCATTCCGTCTACAGAATGATTTGGCAGAGAGAGCTGTGTTTGTGGAGTGAGATCTGGGTTTGAGTCCAGGTTCCGCTGCTGTGTTAATGTGTATGGAGAACAAGTTGCTTTCCTCAGTTTCCCCATCTTTAAAACACCCTAAGCACCAGAGCATTGGGTATTCTGCACTATACAATGATTGACGCTTGGTTTCTGACCCAATTAATATTTAATTATTTAAATGAAGTGGAATGGCTTTTACAAGAGAGACTGAGAGAAACCCATACAAGAGTACCCTATAGCTCAGTGGTTGGCTAAGTTCCTTGTAAGCTGCATGGCCATGCAGCAGACATTTAAGTGCCATGTAGGTGCTCAGGGAACCCGCCAAGCTGTGACCTGCCGCGGCTGGGGGAGGGGTGCCTCTTCCCCGGCCCCAACCCAGCTCCAGACCTGCTGCGGCCAGGGGTTGGGCATCACAAATTCAGCCATGGCCCGAGCCTGCTACGGCCGAGGCACCCCTCCCCCGGCCCCAACCAGCCCCGGATCTGCCACGGCCAGGGGAGGGGTGCCCACGGACAGGGAAGAGGTGCCTATCTTGTGGCCTCAGCCCCAGAGCTGCCGCAGCGGGGAGAGGCGCCTCTCCCCACAGCCCAGGTGCTGCTGTGGGGAGAGAGGACTAGGGGGAGTCCTCTCGACCTGCCGTAGCCCCTGAGCACCCTCCTGCACCCCAAACCTCTCATCCCTGGCCCCACCCCGGAGCCTGCACCCCAAGCCAGAGTCTTCAAACCCCTGAACCCCAACCCTCTGCCCTAGCCCTGAGCCCCCTCCCACACTCCAAACCCCTCGGCCCCACCCCTACCACATGAATTTTGTTATGTGCACCGATATGAAATTGACGTGTCACACATCACCTCCATATTGGTGCACAGAACAAAATTCATTCCACACACGTGTGTGGGAAACATTAGAGGGAACACTGGGTTGATGCCGTCCCCACCCCCGAGGGGTGGGAACTCCCTGTTCAAATCTGGTCTCTGCTTCAGTTGGAGGCCAGATTCTCAGGTGGGGTAAGTTGGCCTACCCCTTCAGGAGCGTAGCCAGCTAGGGGACTACATCCCACCCGCCCTACCGCGCTCTCAGCCCAAGAGGTGGTGGTTTCCCAGCAGCAGACGGTGCTTTAACAAAGCGCTCGCTGCGGGGACAGGACAGCCCAGATGCGCCCGCTGAACTCACAGTGTAGCTGAGATGCGGCTCTTTGCCCGAACCACAGGCTGCAATGCGGGTGTCGTTGCCTTCTTCTTACCCTTGAAAAGTGCTTAAAGGGACAGGGAGACGTTCGGACTGCTGGGCTCACTGCCTTGAACTGCTGCTAGGCTCCCTCCTCTGATCCTGAAAAGGAGTCAGCAGAAAACTGCCCATCGCCCGCTCCCGAACCTGGGCAGGAACGCAGTGCTGCGGCTTCTGCAGGGAAGAAGCTCCGGCAGCGGCCGACGGGTGCTCCCTTGCCACACCCAGCCGGAAGCCACATCCGATGAAGTGAGCTGTAGCTCACGAAAGCTCATGCTCAAATAAATTGGTTAGTCTCTAAGGTGCCACAAGTCCTCCTTTTCTTTTTGCGAATACAGACTAACACGGCTGCTACTCTGAAACCTACATCTGGGGGGAATCCCCCACGGCGCCCCAGTCCCTGCGGGCTCCCCAGCCGCCGCAGCCGGGGGTGGGACTCCCGCTCAGCTGGGGGCGGGAGGGAATCAATGTTGCCAGTCAAAGGAAGCCCCAGCTTGAGAACAGCATGGATTAAACAAGTTTTCCAGTGATCCCTCACCAGGCATATGTTGTACACAATATATCAGAACCATACTCAAGCGGTGAACATGGGACACAGGACGTTAGTCATAAGAGGGATGCAGCGTGGGGCGAATGGGGCAAAGAGAGTCTCTGTCATCTCAACACAGGACACTGTGGTAGATGGGGAGGGGGGTGATCAGCTGGGCTGTCAGGTTCCTCATCTCCCTCTGGCCTCAGTGAGGGGGTCGGCCTGGCTTCAAGGCTGCCCAGGTCTGTTGACATCCCCGGCTCCCTTCTTGCCTGCGCCCAACCTTGGCATTTCAGCAATAGGGAGATGCTGCCCCTCCCGCATCATTCTTTTTTGGGGTGTCGTTCATGGTTCTTTAGATTTCAGGGGCAGCTTCACAAGAAACTCACTGGCCAAGTCTAGTTGCTCTCTGGCTCTAATGCAGCGAGTTCACAGTTCTCAGCCTCAGCCGTCTGGCTCTGAGGACCAAACCCAGCAGTTCCCAGCTCTGAGTCCCACCCTTTCTCCTCCTCCGGGCAGTACCTCACCTCTCTGCAGGGATCAGGCAGTAACTTCATTCCCCATTTTGGGCTCACTGTGAATGTATCTGCACCATCAGTGTTTGTGCTGAGAGATACTGATCACTGTCATTGTTCAAACCACACAAAAAAATCTCATGACAAAGGGTTAGATAAAGATCAAAATAAAATCTAAAAAAAGGACGATTCTGGCAAACAATCATTTGTCTTGTGAAGTCATCAATGAATCTGACCTACATTCTGTCAAACTAAACTAATATCAAAGTATGTGACCAAACGGCCTTCACCCACAATCCAGGGTGAGCTATAAAACACTGTCATGTTCATAAAGTGAAATCTCAGAGAATCATTTAAGACTCAAAATCAGGAAAATAAATTTACCCATTTTCTTCTGAAGTGACTAAACCAGCTTCATTTCTTGCCTCATTATTTGGTTGTATTAGTAGCAAAAGTTTTAGCATCATCATAATAAAAGAAAGAGAAAGAAAGGCAAAAAAACATTCCCATCTACAAATGATCTGGACTAGCCTAGCAAAAGCCAGGAAGCAATTTTACCAATAGATGGAAATTTTACAGGGCTATAAGATCTGAAAGTTCAAACTGTGCTTTAAGGTTCATTGGGAGTTCCCTGCCCACGCCAGGTCTGTGACACTTTCTTCTCCAGCCCTCCAGGGTCTGACTTGGGATCATAGACATCAAAACTGTGATTCCTAAGCGTGGAGAGCCAGGGACACAGTGGTTAGCAACACCTTAGGAGGTGGAAGGGTAGAACGGGGACAGGATAAAACTCTGCACTGCTGAGGCAGAGGCTGCTGTGTCGAGAGTTGAGTGCGACAGTGATGGGGGAAGGAGGGAATCCCTCGGACTCACCCTATCGCCCCAAAATAGCACAGAAGATAAAACACCACATTTTACTGTCCCTGCTCCCCATTTTTTAGCATCTGGTGCATAAGGGAGAAAATGTACAAACATGAAATGCACGGCCTGGAGTAATGTGAGATTATCTGGGAATGAGACAATCAGGCCCCAAAGGGGAACTAAGGAACTAATGATCACTCTGTGAATGGGAGGGGGTCAGAACAGATAAGTAAGGGTATGATTTTATTACAGAGGTCACAGAATCTGTGACTTCCAGAGACCTCTGTGACTTCAGCCCATGGCAACTTGGAGCTGCAGGGTCCCCTCGTCACCTGTGGCAGCCAAGAGCTACCCCCTGGAGCTCTGAGCTGCTGCAGGCCGTGAGAGTACCCCACAGGTGGCCCCCAGAGCTCTGAGTTGCCACGGGCGATGGGGCCCAGCACCTCCCAGCTGCCACGGGCGTCGAAGGGCCCCCAGAGCTCTGAAACACAGGGGGTGGGGAGCCCCCAGAGCAGCAGTCAGAGCCCCCACAGCTGCCCAGCCACAGGGGACCCAGAGCCCCAGCAGCAATAGGTGCTGGAGCCTTCTCCTTCCCCATTTTGTCACGGAGATTATCAGTAGAAGTCACAGTCAGGTCACGGGTTTCCATGAATTTTTCTTTATTGCCCCTGATCTGTCCACAACCTTTACTAAAAATATCCAAGACAAATCTTAGCCTTACACATAAGATGCTGAGAGAGAGAGTTTACACTAGGAAATCTGGTGCAGGGTCACAAAGATGTGCTGTCTAATCCTGACCACATTTCCTACCATAGACACGCTTAGAGGCTGATGCTGCGGAAGCAGAGGTGGGATCTCCAGGCCACCCACAAAAGGCCCTGTGGGAATCACCCCGCTCAGTGGTGCTGTCTGAATGCAGAGGGGGTAGGGAGAAGGGGCAGGGAGTGATGAGAGGCAGCATATCTCTGCCTCGTGCTCTCCCTCTCCTCTTATCCCATGTTCCCCAAACACTCGATAGTCCCAGCACCCAGCTGCCCCTGCTTCCCAGCGCCACCAGCCCCAACCATTCAACACCCAGTGTCCTCCCCATTACCCATTGGCCTGGTTCCTTAATGGTTGATTCCCCAGAGTCCAGCACCCTGGGGGATGAGGGGAGGGGAGGGGAGGAGTACCAGCCCCAAGGGACACTCCCCTGCAGTTCCCCCCGTAGCTCCAGTTAAGTGGGGAGCCCAGCCCTGGGACTGGTGGAAGACGGGGACAGGTGTCTAGAGTGAAGGTGGGGCCTGGCACCAGTGTCCTTCTCCTCATCTCCATGGCAGAGGGATCCCGGCTGGGAGGGGGGGACTTCAGCCAGGCAGAGGGAGCGGCTGGAGGAGTTTCTTTCTCTCTATTCCCCCACCTATGGCCCATCGCTCAGCTGCCAGGACTTCAGGAGGGGATGATGGGGGCTTCTCCTCCTCTGCCTGGGGTTTGCTTAGACCAGGCAGAGCCAGAGGGTCACTGACCAGCAAATGCTCGGCTACTGCTTTATCCTCACTCCTGCAATGGGCAGCTGGATAATTGGGAGCCAAATGCCCCTGATGTGTGTGGGAGCAAGGGAATGGATTTTTCACTATGGTCACACTTCATCAAGGCACTGTTTCTATGTTGTTCAGAGGAGTCTCTGATGTACAGTATGGAGTTAGCTCCTCTTGGCATCTTTTCCACAATGAGGACATCTCAGAGGTTTCTACCGTATGTAGATTTGTGAATGCTTGATACTCTGGGAGCACCAAATGAAGCTTCCCCCACATTCGAGGTCTCGCTGTTGTGTGGATCACTGATGTGTGAAGTCAAATTGAATCTTTTCCTGCAGTCAAGCTGTTTCTAGGGTCTCTCACTCTTGTGGATGCTCTCATGTTTGGTAAGCTCTGAACTCTTATTGAAGCTTTCTGCACAATCAAGGTGTTTCGAAGATCTCTCTCCCGTGTGGATTTTCCCATGTTTACTAAGGTGTGAACGCTGACTAAAACTTTTCCCACAGTCCAAGCATGTATGGGGTTTCTCTCCTGTGTGGGTTTTCTGATGGATATTAAGGGCTGATTTCACACTGAAACTTTTCCCACATTCAAGGCATTTATAGGGTCTTTCTCCTGTGTGAGTTCTCCTATGTTTAGTAAGGGCTGAACTTGCGATAAAATTTTTCCCACACTCAAGGCATCCATAGGGTCTCTCTCCTGTGTGGGTTCTCTGATGTGTAATCAGCGTTGAACTCTGACTAAAACCTTTCCCACACTCGAGGCATTTGTAAGGTCTCTCTCCTGTGTGGATTTGCTGATGTGTAATAAGCTTTGAGTTCTGAATAAAACTTTCCCCACACTCACAGCATTTAAAGGGTCTCTCTCCTGTGTGCACTCTCTGGTGTATAATAAGTTGTGATGTCTGAATAAAACTTTTCCCACAGTCCAAGCATTTATGGGGTTTCTCTTCCATGTGAGTTCTCTCATGTCTAATAAGGGCTGATCGCTCATTGAAAACTTTCTCACAGTCAAGGCATTTATAGGGTCTTTCTCCTGTGTGGATTCTCCCATGTTTAATAAGGTATGAACGCTGACTGAAGGTTTTCCCACAGTCCAGGCATTTATATGGTCTCTCTACCGTGTGGGTTCTCCCATGTTTAATAAGGTAGGAGATCTGACTGAAAGTTTTCCCACAGTCCAAGCATTTATGGGGTTTCTCTCCTGTGTGGGTTTTCTGATGTATATTAAGGGCTGATTTCACACTGAAACTTTTCCCACACTCAAGACATTTATAGGGTCTTTCTCCCGTGTGGATTCTTCCATGTTTAGTAAGGGATGAACTTTCAATAAAACCTTTCCCACATTCAAGGCATTTATAGGGTCTTTCTCCCGTGTGTATTCTCCTATGTTTAATGAGGGATCGATTTTCCGTAAAATTTTTCTCACACTCAAGGCATTTATAGGCTCTTTCTCCAGTATGGATTCGCCCATGTCGAATAAGGGATGAACTTTCCATAAAACTTTTTCCACACTCAAGGCATCTATAAGGTCTTTCTCCTGTGTGGGTTCGCTGATGAGTAATAAGCTTTGAGCTCTGACTAAAACTTTTCCCACACTCAAGGCATTTATACGGTCTGTCTCCTGTGTGCACTCTCTGGTGTATAATGAGTTGTGACTTCTGAATGAAGCTTTTCCCACAGTCCAGGCATTTATGGGGTTTCTCTCCTGTGTGGATTCTCTGATGATTATTAAGTTTTGTTCTGTCAACAAAACTTTGCCCACAATTGAGGCATTTATAAGGTTTGTCACCTGTATGGATTCTCTGATGCTTAATAAGGTGTGAGCGCTGACTAAAAGTTTTCCCACAGTAAAGGCATTTATACGGTCTCTCTCCCGTGTGGATTCTCCTATGTTCAATAAGGTATGAGTTCTGACCAAAAGTTTTCCCACAGTCCAAGCATTTATGGGGTTTCTCTCCCGTGTGGGTTTTCTGATGTGTATTAAGGGTTGATTTCACACTGAAACTTTTCCCACACTCAGGGCATTTATATGGTCTTTCTCCTCTGTGGATTCTTTCATGTTTAGTAAGGGATGAACTTTCAATAAAACCTTTCCCACACTCGATGCATTTATAGGGTCTCTCTCCCTTGTGGATTCGCCCATGTTGAATAAGGGATGAACTTTTGCTAAAACTTTCCCCACAGTCAAGACAATTGTAGGGTTTCTCTTTATTGTGACTTGTCTGCAGGTCTGTGGTTTCCTTGGGATCCTGACATCCTCCGCCATGTTGAATGGATTCATCCAGTTTCTTCCCGGGATAGTTTCCCAGCTGCATCTCTGATCTGTCTCGATCTCCCCAGGCATTTCCCTGCTCCAAGCACTGGGAAAAATTCCCTTCGGCTCTTCTCAAAAACATCTCCTGCGGTTCCACTTTCCCAGGACCTTCCTGCTGCTGAGTCTCCTCCTTGTTCTCACTCACTGTCCGATCACCTGCTGGGAGAGAGAGAATCCAGACAGGAGTCACTGCCTGTGCCGGGGAGAAAGGACAGAAAGGGGAATAGCAAAGAGGGAAAACACAACACAGTGACTGTTGGGGAGATGGAGACATTGGATTCTGCCTCCACATCCCACCCCAACACTCCCAGGGAAGCAAAGTCAGGGAGGAAATTCCCGACAGCTAACAGGGTGGGTGGGAAGCTCTGACTGATATTTGCCTTGATGATAGGACACCTGCCTGTGTTCCCTGTAAGCTGCGGGCACAGCATGTGTTCAGGTGCCCCTCCCCACAAGTTGCTCCATCCTGCAGATGCTCCCAGGGTCCTCCTGCTGGCTGTGCAGAGCGGGGGTGGGAGGGTGCTGATGTCAGGGTGTCCACCTCCCCCTATACCCCATCTCTGCAGAGCAGGGCAGAGGGGACAGCCTGGCTCAGGAGGACTCGGAGCTGATACGGTCTGAATGGTGGTGCCTTTCTTAAAGAGACAATGCACTGTTTCTGAGATTTCCCCAGCAGCCAGCTCACTCTGTCTGTCTGTCTGTCTCTCTCTCACACACACACTCACTCTCCCCTACCCGTGTACCACATCTCCGCAGAGCTGGGGAAAGTAGACAACAGGGCTCAAGAGAGCATTCAGTGAGTGTCTTAAACAGACAGCGAACTGCTTTCCCCAGCAGCCAGCACATACACTGTCTCTGTGTCACACACACACACAGAGTCTCTGTGTGACACTCTCCTCTCAACACCTACTTGTATTATTGTTGATGTTACTTCTTGGTACTTCTTGCAATCACATATATTCTCTGTAATTTTATTCTTCCAAAGTGTGTTATTTTAGTATTTTGACTGTCCATGCATTTCATAATTTTTATTTCTTTTACACTTAAATTTAATTCTTTGAGTAGTGAGTTCTAAAATGCCTAACTTGTCCTGGCTGGAATAATTATCCCTATGGTAACTTTTAAAAAATATATATCATATCTAGGTTTTTTGTTTCTACTGGTAGTGCACATAGGCACATATCTCGGTGCACAAAAAATGTATTCCGCACATGATTGAAAAAATTAGAGGGAACATTGCAGGCTGACTGAAGCCCTGACCTGGGTGAGACGGGGCAGAACTGAGGGCTCTCGCTCACAGCACATTTTGGGAGTCCCAGCTTTTTCCTTCACTCTCCAGACAGTTTCTCTGTCAGTTTCCCTGACTACTCACCTGTGCGGGTGCCTCTCGGGCTCTCCTTTTTCTTGGCGGTCTGGAGGTCCGGGTCCCACGGCTCTTCCCCTTGTTCCAGCCGGGCGATCAGGTCAGGTTTGGGAATGGGGAATCCTGCGCAGGGGGTGAAATCAGGGGAGGTCAGGGTGCATGGAGTCTTGGTAGAGTATCTGACACAAGGAACCTGCGTTCCCTGTAAGCTGCATGCTGGAGCGGCCACCCAGGAGTGACTGAAGTGTCACAGTTGATTAGGCTCCAGAGCCACTCACATCCAGCAGGCAGCGTGGATTGAGGTGCCCTCCCTCCCCCGCCACCCCACAATGCAGCCCTCTGCCTTGGAGCCCTTGTGGCTCCTGGGACCCTCCTGCTGGCTGTGCAGAGTGGGGGCCGGGGGGTGCTGATGTCTGGGTACCCCTTCCCCCCATCCCTGTACCCCAGCAGGGGAGACGGAACAGCCTCGCTCAGCACTGTGAGCAGGACAGGGTCTGAGGTCTGAACCCCACACACAGAGTCTGCTTCCCCAGCACCCAGCAAACACAATCTCTGCCTGTGCCTCTCTACACACACACACACACACACACAAACAGCGTCTGTGTGTCTACACGCATGCACAAACAGCATCTCCACACGCACAGAGTCGGCGTGCATCTACACACACACAGTCTGTGTGTCTCGAGACACACACACACACGGTCGGTGTGTCCCTACAAACATGCACAGTGTCTCCACAAACACACATGCACACCAAGTCCGTGTGTCTCTCCACACACAAACACAGTCTTTTACACTCACCTCCCAACACATACTTGTGTTATTGTTGTTTATTACTTCATATTTCCTGCAATGCACATGTATTCTCTGTAAATTTATTCTTTCAAAGCGTGTTATTTTAGTGTTCTGACTGGTCTATGCATTTCATAATTTTTATTTCTCTCTTACATTTAAATGTAATTCGTTGAGTTGTTAGTTCTAAAATATCTAACCTGTCCTGGCTGAAGTAATTATCCCTATTGTAACTTTTTAAAAATATATATTATATCTAGGTTTTTTGTTTCTACTGGTGGCGCACATCCACACATAACAAAATTTATTCTGCACACGGATGGAAAAAATTAGAGGGAACATTGCAAGGAACATTCCCTGAGTTTAAACTGACCCGACATGGGATTGTGGTAACTCAGACTTCTTGGGAGAAGCAGACATCCTGGGATGGGGGTGTTGTTACACCCTCACTAGGAGGTCTCAGGATAGGTGTACTCTCGGGGACTTGCTTTCACACACAGCTCAGGTGTTCAACTCCTGTCTATTTGTAAGCCTACAGAACCTACAACCCTCCCCACGGGTGGAGCAAGGAGAACGGTGTGTGAAGGAGAAATAATACAGAGAGGGCAATACCCTGCTTCTGACCCCTTGACAGCTGGTAAAACAGGGATGAATTAGCATGTCCATTAGGTGTCTGAATCCCCTGTTTCCTTGAATGGGTTATAGAGATCTCACCCTGGAGCTGTGGACTACGTGACCCTCCTCCTCCAATCTAACTGACCAGGGAAGAACCTGACCAGATTCAGACACGCAGACCCCATGGCTTCCATTAGCTGAGGCACAGGAATCCCTTACCCAGCGAGGTCACCGTCTCATAGTTCTCCTGCATGACGTCCCTGTAGAGGGCTCTCTGAGCGGGGTCCAGCAGAGCCCCCTGCCCCTCAGTGAAATACACAGCCACCTCCTCGAAGGTCACCGGCATCTGAAACAACAAGTCTCCCCCATTCAGCGCCTGCTGCCCCAGCCACAATCCCACTAGTGACAGGGGAGGAGGTCCAGAGGAGCAGAATCCCACCCCCACCCTACTCAGAGCAGCCAGAAGGCTTCAGGGGACGCAGAGGTGAGAGCTCCTTGTCCCCCCAGCACACGGAGCAGGGCAGGGTCTTCTCATTTCCCACATGCCTGCAGCCACAGGCTGATACGGGAAGCAGAGCTCTGAACCGGGGGCAGGGACAGGAATCCCCACAGCTTCCCTTCGTATATTTCACAGCAGCCTCTGGCCAGTGGGGTCAGGCTCCAGCACTGGGAGTCTGGTCAGTTTTCCCAGCCCTGCCCAGGGGGGTGTTTCCTGGTTCAGAAACGGGGGGACGTTCCCGTCCTCACCAATGGGCCTGTTCAGAAAATCAGGCTCCAAGTTGAATGTGTCCCAGGAGGATTATCACACCCTGTCCCCTCCCTGACTCCCAGTGGGGGTTTCCTACTCCTCCCCCTCCACAGCAAATCCCCCTGCAGCTCCCTGAAAATCCCCTACCTGAGCTGGCTCCATCACAGCCATTTCCCTTCCCTGTCCCCTGGAAGACAGGACGATCTGGGGCAAAATGTGGACGGGATCCTCAGCCTGTCAGGGAGAGAGGGGCGACGGGGGAGGTTTCAGAAGGGGCTTGAGTCCATTTCACACCCCAACTCCCCCCAGGCTTCCTCCCTGCAGACAGACGCTCTGGACTCTGCCACGCTGGGAAAGCCCTCAGTCACTTTATTACAACACAGACCCGGCCCCTCCCACCAGCACTGAACCCCTGAGACACTTTTAAATGCCCCCAGGGCCAGAGTCTCTGAGAGAAATGCTAGAAAAGAGCAGAATCAAAGGAACCATGTGGGAGATTCCCCCTGATGATCCCCTGATGAGGGCAGAGCATCCAGCTCCTCCCCTTGTTCCCAGGAGAGTCAGTCTCACAGTGTCTCTGAGGACAGCAGCTCTGGAACCCCCAGACCCATGGGGAGCCCTCCCCCTTCGGTACAAACTCACCAGCAGGTCCCTGAAAGGGGCCCTTTGTGCAGAGTCACTGTCCTGCCCAGCCCCAGCCCTGTCCCCATCACCTGAAGGTCTCTGGCTCAGGAGCTGGTGTCAGAAGAGCCTGGGGCTGCCCCAGGGGGCTAGTTCCAGGTCCAGCAAAAGTCCCCACCCGGGCTGGGCCCAGAGAGGGGGGTTAATGAAGGTCTGTCCCTGGCACAGACCCCGCTGGGGAGCAGCAGTTTCACAGTCTGGGCTCTCAGGTAGAGGAGGCAGCAGTGTCTGACCCAAAGACCTCAATTCAAGGGCTCTAATATCAGGAGCAGAGAGAGACACGCACCAGCTGCCTCCTCTCCCTGAGCAATAATCGGAGCCTTCTGGTGGCAGCAGCTCATGACTGACCCTCCCCGTCCTGGCCCTGCAGCCCCCAGGGACAGGCAGGCAGAGGCTGATCCCATCGGCCCATCCACACTCACCCCCTGCCAGAGCCAGCAGTGACTCCGGTCAGCGTGGCCGAGATCTGACTCCTGCCCGGAAATCAGACCAGGGCCCTGGGCAGCCCCGAACCCTCAGGAGACAGACCCCAAAATCATGAGTGTGTCTGAAAATAATACACTGGGAGCAGGGGGGGGGGGGGGGGCTGGATATTTGCCGGGTAGCTTCTGAGCCCTTAGGCAGAAGCCTCCAGCTACCCCCAAAGCATCATTGACTAGTTGCAGTAAAAGATACCCATGGAGTGGGGGAGCTGCCTTTGTATCTCTTCCTCTCATTCTCCCCGACCCCTACCCGGTTTCTCCCCCTTCCCCAGTCTGCTCTTGCTCTCAAAGTCTCCCCCGAGGCCCCCCACCCCACATCCCCCCTTTTCCTTCGCTGTGCCTCCCACTCAGAGTTTCCTTCCATTGCAGCCCTGTTCCCATCCGCCCCATAAGTCTCCCCTCATTCTCCTGCATCGCCCCATCCCCCTTCAGCGCCCCCATCCCATCCTGCCCCCTAAATCCCCCCTTACCCTCACACCCCGCCCCCCCAGGACCCTCTTCAGCACCCTGCCGTGTGTCTGTCCTAGTCCCAGCCCCCCGCCCGCTCCGGGCTGGTTCCCCCCGCCCCGCCGGGGGCTGGCGGCGGCTTTCCCGGGCCCGGGGCAGGGAATCGCAGCCCGCTCCGCGGGGAGCAGCCCGGGGCCAAACCCGCCCCCTGCAGCCCGGGGGTGCCGGGGGGGGCGGGTCTCTCTTACCTTCCCTCCGAGCGGGGCCCCCGGGGCAGGGGCCGGGCCGGGAAGGGGCCCTGGCCGGGCTGGGGGCTCTGCCCTGGGGGAGGCTCCCGGGGAGCAGCGGGCAGGGCCCGGCTGGAGGTTCCCCGCTCCCGGCTGCAGCCCGGGCTCCGGGCTCCCAGCACCAGCCGCCGGGGCGCGGGGATCTCGCCGGGAGCCAGAGTCCCCGCAGCGGCTGCGAGTCACTTCCTGCGGCCGGGCCTGAGCCCCGCGATCCTCCCCCCCAGCCGCTCCTGGGTCCTAGCGATATCCCACGCTCTGCACTTCGCCTCTCTGTGTCCGGCTTCTGTTGACTCATAGACTTTACAGTCAGAAGGGCCCATCAGGATCATCTAGCCCAGGGGTTCTCATGACCAAATTTTTGGTGGCCTCAGAGTGTTGCCAGCAGCTCCCGCTGGTGGCCGCTCTGACACTTTTCCCTATAATACTTAATTAACTTGTGGAAAAACCAATAAACATGCACAGAGGTAAGCGGAGGAATGGTCCCGATATGGTGGAGAACTTTCCTGGCTTATACCAATCAAATAGCAGAAGGATCTGAGTCCTCGCTCCCACTCCCTTCACCCAGAGGCCTGCCTGCTCCCCAGGACTCCCCTTCCACTCTAGTCCCTGAAACCCCGACAAGGCTGGGCCCAGGATTCGTGAGGGGCTCAATCCCCAATTTTCTTGTGATCACTCAGGACAGGGGCTAGGGCATCCCTACTCCAGGGTGCTCTCCCCACTCCGGATGCTTCCCTGACCATTGCATAGAGTTTAGCACAAATACAATTTATTAAACAGCAACAAATTAAAACAAATTAAGGGAAAAAATGGGAAAGGTTAAAGGAAAAACCATCACCCCGCTCTGTGGGATGAACCACAAACAGGCATTTCTGAAATGTAAGGAAAATTCACAGTCTGTTCCTCACACGTCCCACTCCCAGGCCTCCTGCCCAGGGGCGGTTCCGGGGGGGGGCCCGTTCCCGTTGTTCGGGGTGGGGGGGGGTCGCAGAGGGGGGGGGTCGGCACAGAGACCCCGTTCGGCAACGTGCGCCCTTCCCCCCTGCAAGGTGAGAGTGAAGGGTTGGAGAACAAAGGAATCAGGGAACCTGGCCCGGGAAAGGAACAAAGCAGAGGAGGAGGGGCTGGAGGGGTTTTCAGTTTGGGGTGTCTGGGACATGGAGTGAAGTGAGACGTGGTTGTCTGGCTCACTGCCCCCAGAATGGACCCAGAGAGGGGTCCCGCTCTCTGCACCTGCAAGCTCTGTTTTAGACCATGTTCCTGTCGTCTAATAAACCTTCTGTTTTACTGGCTGGCTGAGAGTCACTCTGACTGAAAGTTGGGGTGCAGGCTCTGTTCCCAGAGCCCTGAGCGGACTCGTGGGGGAAAGGACGGAGGGGAGAGGATGTGAATGTCTGAGGTAGACCCAGGAAGGTGGAAGTGTGTGAGCTGTGTGTCCTGAAGACAGGCTGCTCACAGAAAGGGAACCCAGAGTCCTGACTGACTTCATGGGGAGAGTCAGAGACGCCCAGGGACCCTGACACCCTGGCTGTGCTGCAGGGATGCTGCGGGTCGGACACGTGCTCTGGTGGTGACCTCATGCCCTGATGCTCTCAGTGGCAGGACCTTTCTTCCTAGCATCGCACCCCCATTGGTGTTATGATCCCCCCTCCCAGTCCAGCCTGCAAGCCCTCTTGGCTGGAGATGTCTCCCTGCACTGGTTCCTCTGCCCAGGATCTCCCCTCGCTCTCCCCAGCTGCTCACAGCACCCGGCTCCGGACTGCTCCAGCCCCAGCTTCCCTCTGCCTCCAGCTCAGCTCTCTGGGCTGCACCTCTCTGGCTCAGGCTGGTGCTGCTCTGCTCCCAGCCCAGCTCTGCTCTCTCCTTAGCGCCTCCCACCCTGCTCTGCCCCCTACAGCTCACAGAGAGGATGCGACCCCGGCCTCCTGACTTCCTCCTTGGCCTGCCCGCCCTGTCCACCAGGCTGATCCGCAGCATTGGCCCCTGCCCATTGTCAGTCTCCGGATCTTGAGGCCAACAGTCCCCTTACCCATATACACATCAAAATTGTTATTCATTGCTAGCTAGTAAGTCTGCTGCTGTGAAAAGTGATATGTGTAGGTTTGTTCATATTTTTCACAGCCTCTCAGCTAGCTACCTGGGTGGCCAACTTGGTAATTTTTAAAAACCAGGCACACCAGCAGCCCTGCTGGAACTTCCCCTGCCCCACCTCTTTCCCCCGAGGTCCCACCCTGCCCCGCCTCTTCCCCATAGGCTCCTCCTCTGCCCTGCCTTTCCCCCCAAGGCTCTCTCAGTAACTGGACTTTGGGTATCCGGTCACTAGATCTGACCAGACACCGTCAGCTCCCCCTTTAGACTGGACTTTCTGGTCGAAAACCAGGCACCTGGCCACCCTAGTAGCACCCAACATGCAATAAGTTCTGGGAATGCGTCGGGGACAACTTCTGCTTTCCGCTGGTGGGGGAAGTACCCAGGGGGCAGCCGGGTTAGACTCAGTTCTGACCAGCAGGGAGGAATTTGTTGGTCTAGATGAAATTACTGTAAGGTGGATGCACGACTGGCTGAAAGACTGTACTCCAAGTACTGATTAATGGTATGGTGTCAAACTGGGAGGGGAACAGCCCATACCCTGGCTCCCAGGAGGTAGGTGCTGAGCGATGGCTGTCGCTGCATTCTGGGATTGTGTCTGCACCCTGACACAGACAGTGACTGACACTGCCCTCAGCTTGTGAGTACCCCCTCCAGCACCCAAAACTTCACCCTCCCCCAGCTACCCTCCTCATCAGCGTCCTTTTTGAGAACCTGAAATATGGTCACCCTCGTAACAAACACAGAGTAAAATCTCACCATTCTACATGCACTGGTGTTACACGCATTTCAACAGCATAATATTAAACAGATCATGAGTTTTCCAATGATCCCTCACCAGGCATACTTTGTACATTATATATCATAACCATACACAGGTGGTGAACATGGGGCACAGGGGGTTAGTTACAAGAGGGATGCAGTGTGGGGTAAGTGGGGCAGAGACAGTCTCTCTGATCCCCACACAGGACACTGCAGTAGATGAGGAGGAGGTTGTGACAGGTTCCTCCCAGGGTGCCATCTGGAACTGGGGTACCACTGAGCTCGCCTGACCCAACAGCCAGGACTTCCTATACACTGCACTGCTGTGACCAGCCTGCCAAGCCCTCTCCCAGGCTTCAGTCTGCACTTTACCAACACACATACAGGTAGGGACACACCCAGCTGGAGTTCATATAGACTCTGTGATCGGCTCTGCATGGGAAGGCACAGCTAAGGCTCCTCCCACTTCCTAAGGCATGCCCCCCTACCCCAAGTGTAAACCCAGTGTATACCGTCTTGCGCCGCACAAGGAACTGTACAGCATAAGCTCATGAAATTTGCCCCCTCCCTCAATGTGGAAAGGAATATACACAGCTTTCTGCCCCAAGTTATGACTCCCACACACACTGTTTTAGATAAAGCAAAAACAAGTTTATTAACTACAAGAGATCGATTTTAAGGGATTATAAGGGATAGCAAACCAATCAAAGCAGATAATCTAGCAAATAAACAAAGCACAATCTAAGCTTTATATACTAAAGAGATTGGATATGAGTATCCACGTCTCACCCTAAATAATTATTTAAGCTGATTACAGAGATTCTTAAGGGGCTGGCTGCCCTTGCTTACAGCTTAAAAACCTCAGGTATTCTTCACAGTCTAGAAATCCCTCTAGCCTGGCTTCAGCACTTTCCCCCCAGTTCAGTCCTTTTTCCTCAAGGGTTTCCCAGAATCTCCTTTGGGCAGGGAGTCAGTGAAGAACCATGCTGATGTCTCTCCTCTGTCTTAAACAGCTTTTGTATGTGACGAGCACCGTTTGTCTCCATGCTTGGTTCCCATGCCTTTCAGTGGAAAAACACTGGTTTTCCAAGATGGAGTCCAGTACCAGGTGATCTGGTCACATGACTTTGTAGTGTCACAACAGCTGTGACTCCAGGCTGTTTGTAGGGTTTTCAGGAAGGCTTTCTGCTGGGAGATTAGCTTCTTTTAAAACCTATTGTTCTCCCAAATGGCCCTTCCCAGCCAGCCATTTAGACTGCCAATTAGGGCTGTAGATTAATTGCAGTTAACTCACATGATTAACTCAAAAAAATGAATCACGATTAAAAAATGAATCATGATTAATCACAGTTTTAACTGCATTGTTAAACAATAGGGCACCAATTTAAATGTATTAAATATTTTGGATGTTTTTCTACATTTTCACATGTATTGTATCCTGTGTTGTAATTAATAATCAAAGTGCATATTATTTTTATTCCAACTATTTGCAGTGTAAAAATGAAAAACAAAAGAAATAGTATTTTTCAATTCACCTCAGTAAGTACTGAAGTGCAATCTCTTTATCATGAAAGTGCAGCTTACAAATCGACAGTTTTTTGTTACATACCTGCACTCAAAAACAAAACAATGTAAAACTTTAGAGCCTACAAGTCCACTCAGTTCTTGTTCAGCCAATCCCGAAGACAAACAAGTTTGTTTACATTTGCAGGAGATAATGCTGCTGGCTTCTTATTTACAATGTCACCTGAAAGTGAGAACAGGAGTTCACATGGCACTTTTGTAGCCAGCAATGCAAGGTATTTAAGTGCAAGATATGCTAAACATTCATATGCCCCTTCATGATTCAGCCACCATTCCTGAGGACATGCTTCCATGCTGATGATGCTCATTAAAAAAAAAAATACATTAATTACATTTTTGATTGAACTCCTTTGGGCAGAACAGTATGTCTCCTGCTCTGTTTTATCCGCATTCTGCCATATATTCCATGTTATAGCAGTCTCGGATGATGACCCAGCACATGTTGTTTCATTTAAGAACACTTTCACTGTAGATTTGACAAAACACAAAGAAGGTACCAACGTGAGATTTCTAAAGATAGCTACAGAACTTGACCCAAGGTTTAAGAATCTGAAGTGCCTTCCAAAATCTGAGAGGGACAAGGTGCGGAGCTTGCTTTCAGAAGTCATGAAAGAGCAACACTCTGATGTGGAAACTACAGAACCTGAACCACCAAAAAAGAAAATCAACCTTCTGCTGGTGGCATTTCAGATAATGAAAATGAACATGTGTTCATCCACTTTGCTTTGGACTGTTATCGAGCAGAACCCAACATCAGCATGGACACGTCTTCTGGAACGGTAGTTGAAGCATGAAGGGACATATGAATCTTTAGCACATCTGGCACGTAAATATCTTGTGATGCCGGCTACACCAGTGCCATGAGAACACCTATTCTCACTTTCAGGTGACATTCTAAACAAGAAGTGGAAAGCATTACCTCCCACAAATGTAAACAAATTTGTTTGTCTGAGCGATTGGCTGAACAAGAAGTAGGACTGAGTGGACTTGCAGGCTCTAAAATTTTACACTTATTTTTGAATGGTAATTAGTTTTTTTTGGTACATAATTCTACGTTTGTAAATTCAACTTTCATGATAAAGAGATTGCAGTACAGTACTTGTATTAGGTGAATTGAAAAATACTATTTCTTTTGTTTTTTTACAGTGCAAATACTTGTAATAAAAAATAAATATGAAGTGAGCATTGTACACTTTGTATGCTGTGTTGTAATTGAAATCAATATATTTGAAAATGTAAAAATCATCCAAAAATATTTAAATAAATGGTATTCTATAATTGTTTAACAGTTCGATTAATTGTGTGATTAATTTTGTTAATCTTACGATTCATTGCAATTAATTTGTTTAATTGCATGATTAATCATGATTAATTTTTGTATTCGCTTGACAGCCCTATTGACAATCTTTTGCCTAGTGGGTGTTCCCCAAGTGTAAACACATTTCTAATAGAAATACATAGCCAATATTCCTAACTTCAGATACAAAAAGATAGATGCATACAAATAGGATAATCATATTCAGTAAATCATACCCTTTTCAATGATCTTTCACATGACCTATCTTGAAAAAAATACATCATAGTTATGTTATAATCATACCATAATAGTATCTCTATGAAGAATATGGGACACAGTGCCACAGTGAGCAGCTGAACTGTAAGGTTGCCCATCTCCCTCTGGCCTCAATGCTGGGTATCGGTCTGGCTTCAAGGCTGCCCAGGTCTGTTGATATCCCCGGCTCCCTTCTTGCCTAACACCCAACCTCAGCATCTTTGCAATAGGGAGATGCTGCCCCCTACCCCCGGATCATTTTTTGGAGTGTCATTCATGGTCCTTTAGATTTCATGGGCAGCTGCACAAGACACTCACAATCCAATTCAAGTTTCTCTCTGGCACCGGTGCAGCGAGTTCACAGTTCTCAGCCTCAGCCGTCTGGCTCTGAGGAGCAAACCCAGCAGTTTCCCAGCTCTGTTCCCCTCATCTTCTGCCCCTCCAAATGGTATCTTACATCACTTCATAGATCAGGCAGTAACTTCATTCCCTGTTTCAGTCTCAGGCTCGACCACTGTGAATGTATCTCATACCATCACTGCTTGTGCTGAGAGATATTGATCACTGTCATTGTTCAAACCACACAAAAAAATCTCATGACAAAGGGTTAGATAAAGATCAAAATAAAATCTAAAAAAGGACTGTTCTGGCAAATGATCATTTGTCTTGTCAAGTCCTCAATGAATCTGACCTACATCCTGTCAAACCAAACTAATATCAAAGTATGTGACCAAACGGCCTTCACAAAGAGAGAAAAACTCACAATCCAGGGTGGGCTATAAAACACGTTCTTGTTCATAAAGTAAAATCTCAGAGAATCATTTAAGACTCAAAATCAGGAAAATAAATTTACCCATGTTCTTCTGAAGCCACTAAACCGGCTTCACTTCTAGCCTCATTATTTGGTTGTATTAGTTGCAAAAGCTTTAGCATCATCATAATAAAAAAAAGAGAAAGACAAATCTTCCTATGTACAAATGATCTGGACTAGCCTAGAAAAAGCCAGGAAGTAATTTTACCAATAGATGGAAACAGGGCTAAAGATCTGAAAGGCCAAACTGTGCTTTGAGGTTCAATGGGATTTCCCCACCCACTCCTAGGTATATGATACTTTCTTCTCCAGCCCTCCGGAGTCTGACTTAGGATCATAGACATCAAACTGTGATTCCTAAGCATGGAGAGACAGGGACATGGGGGTAAGTGACACCCTAGGAGATGGAGGGGTAGAACGAGGACAGGATAAAACTCTCCATCGCTTGGACAGGGGCTGCTGTGTCGAGAGTGGAGCGTGACAGTGATGGGGGAAGGAGGGAATCCCTGAGACTCACCCCATTGCCCTGAAAGAGCACAGATGCTAAAACACCACATTTTATTGTCCCTGCTCCCCATTTATTTAGCATGTCATTAATTCTTGTGCATAAAGGGAGAAAATGTACAAACACTAATGCTTTTCAGCACGGCCTGATGTAATGTGAGACTATCTAGGAATGAGACAATCTGTCCCCAAAGGGGGAACTCAGGGACTAACGATCACTTTGTGAATGGGAGGGGGTCAGAACAGATAAGTAAGGCTACGGTTTTATTATGGAGGTTGTGGAACTCAGGCAACCTATGACTTCCAGAGACCTCCGTGACTGCAGCCCGTGGTGGCTTGGAACTGCGGGGTCCCCCTGCCACCCATGGCAGCCGAGAGCTGCCCCCTGGAGCTCTGACCTGCTGCAGGCCATGGGGTTACCCCACATCTCCTGGCTGCAATGGGTGGCTCCCAGAGCTTTGAGTCACTGTGGGCGGCTGGGGCCCCCCATAGCTCCCAGCAGGCATGGATGGTGGGGCGGCTCCAGAGCTCCGAGCTGCAGGTGGTGGCGGGGGGCCCTTGGAGACCCCAGCCAGAGCCCCCGCACCTCCCCAGCTGACATGGAACCCCAGACCCCAGCAACAATAGGTGCTGGAGCCTTCTCTCTCCCATTTTGTCACGGATATTAGTAGTAAAAGTCATGGACAGACTTCCGTGAATTTTTCTTTATTACCCGTGACCTGTCCACGAATTTTATTAAAAAAATATCCATGACAAATCTCAGCCTTGCACATAAGATGCTCAGGGAGAGTTTACAGTAGAAAAACTGGTACAGGGTCACAGAGATGCGCTGGCTAATCCTGACCATGTTTCCTACCATAGACACGCTTAGAGGCTGATACTGCAGAGGCAGAAGTGGGATCTCCAGGCCTCCCACAAAAGGCCCTGTGGGAATCAGCCCCTCTCAGTGATGCTGCCTGAATGCAGAGGGGGCAGGGAGAAGGGGCAGAGAGGGTGAGTGATGAGAGACAGCAAGTCTCTGCCGCTGTGCTCTCCCTCTCCTCTTATCCCACGGTGCCCAAACACTCAAAAGCCCCAGCACACAGCTCCCCCTGCTCCCCAACCATTCAACCCCCAGTGTCCTCCCCATAACTCATCGGCCTGGTCCCTTAATATTTGATCGCCCATAGCCCAGTGCCCTGGGGGATTTGGGGAAGGGAGGAGTTACGAGCCCCCAAGGACACTCCCCGTGCAAGGAACAGCTCCAGGTCAGTGGTGGAGCCCAGCGCAGGGGCTGGGGAAGATGCGGGGTGGGGACAGGCATCTAGAGTGAAAGTGGGGCCTGGCACAAGTGTTCTTCTCCTCATCTCCATGGCAGGGGGACCCCACCTGGGAAGGTAAGAGAGAGGGGGGAACTTCAGCCAGGCAGAGGGAGAGGCTGGAGGAGTTTCTCTCTCTCCGTTCCCCCACCTGTGCCCCATCAGCTCAGCAGCCAGGGCTGTAGCAGGGAGGAGGAGCTGATGGGGGCTTCTCCTCCTCTGCCTGGGGTTTGCTTAGACCAGGCAGAGCCAGAGGGTCATTGACCAGCTGCTGCTTGGCTGCTGCTGGATCCTCACCGCAGTGATGGGCAGCTGGATCCTTGGGAGCTGAATGCCCCTGATGTGTGTGGGAATGAGGAAATGGGTTGGTCACCATGGCCAGCCCCAGTCAGGGCCCTTAGAGAATTTCTCTGCTGTGTAGAGGAGTCTCTGATGTCCAACATGGTGTTAACTCCATGTGGACCATGTCCCACACTGCAAACATCTCAGAGGTTTCTTCCCTGTGTGGATTTGCAAATGCCTGATACTCTGGGAGCACCAAATAAACCTTCCCCCACGTTCAAGGTCTCTCTGTTGTGTGGGTCACTGATGTGTGTCTGCAGTCAAGCTATTCCTAGGGTGTCTCACCCTTGTGTATTCTCTGATGTTTGGTGAGCTCTGAGCTCTTACTGAACCTTTCCCCACAGTCAAGGCATTTATAAGGTGTCTCTCCCATGTGCATTCTCCCATGTTTAGTAAGATGTGAGCGCTGACTGAAAGTTTTCCCACAGTCCAAGCATTTGTATGGTCTTTCTCCTGTGTGGGTTCTCTGATGTGTAATAAGCTTTGAGCTCTCACTATAATCTTTCCCACACTCAAGGCATTTATAAGGTCTCTCTCCTGTGTGGGTTCTCTGATGTGTAATAAGCGCTGAGCTCCGAATAAAACTTTTCCCACATTCACAGCATTGAAAGGGTCTCTCTCCTGTGTGCAGTCTCTGGTGTAGAATAAGTTGTGACTTCTCAATGAAGCTTTTCCCACAGTCTAAACATTTATGGGGTCTCTCTCCTGTGTGGATTCTCTGATGAGTGGTAAGTTTTGTTCTGTCAACAAAACTTTTCCCACAATCGAGGCATTTATAGGGTTTGTCACCTGTGTGGATTTTCTGATGCTTAATAAGGCGGGAGCGACTACTGAAATCATTCCCACACTCAAGGCATTTATAAGGTCTCTCTCCAGTGTGCAGTCTCTGGTGTATAATAAGTTCTGACTTCTGAATGAAGCTTTTCCCACATTCAAGGCATGTATAGGGTCTTTCTCCTGTGTGGATTCTTTCATGTTTAGTAAGGGATGAACTTTCGATAAAACCCTTCCCACACTCGAGGCATTTATAGGGTCTCTCTCCTGTGTGCAATCTCTGGTGTTTAATAAGATAAGGCTTCCTACTGAAGCTTTTCCCACAGTCTAAGCATTTATAGGGCTTCTCTCCTGTGTGGGTTCTGTGATGTGACATAAGATGTGACGTCTCATTAAATTTTTTCCCGCACTCCAGGCATTCATAGGGTCTCTCTCCTGTGTGCAGTCTCTGGTGTGTAATAAAGTGTGACTTCTCACTGAACCTTTTCCCACAGTCCAAGCATTCATAGGACTTCTCTCCTGTGTGGGTTCTCCAATGTTTAACAAGGTTTGCACTGAAACGGAATCTTTTCCCACAGTCAAGGCATTTGTAGGGTTTCTCTTCATTGTGACTTGATTGCTGGACTGAGGTTTCCTTGGGATCCTTGCATCCTCCGCCATGTTCAGTGGATTCATCCAGTTTCTTCCCGGGATAGTTTCCCAGCTGCATCTCTGATCTGTCTCGATCTTCCCAGGCATTTCCCTGCTCCAAGCCCTGGGAAAAATTCCCTTCGGCTCTTCTCAAAAACATCTCCTGGGGTTCCACTTGCTCAGGCCCTTCCTGATGCGGATTCTGCTCCTTGTTCTCACTCACTGTCCTATCACCTGCTGGGAGAGAGAGAATCCAGACAGGAGTCACTGCCTGTGCTGGGGAGAAAGGACCGAAAGGGGAATAGCAAAGAGGGAAAACACCACACAGTGACTGTTGGGGAGATGGAGACATTGGATTTTGCCTCCACATCCCACCCCAACACTCCCAGGGAAGCAAAGTCAGGGAGGAAATTCCCACAGCTAACAGGGTGGGTGGGAAGCCATGACTGATATCTGCCTTGACACCTGCTGACGGCCGCCCTGACCTGGTTGAGATGGGGCACAACTGACGGCTTTCACTCACAGTAAGTTTTTGGGAGTCCAAACTTTTTCCTTCACTCGCCAGATGTTTCTGTCTCAGTTTCCCTCATTCCTCACCTGTGCAGGTGCCTCTCGGGCTCTCCCTTTCCTCAGCAGCCTGGAGATCTGGGACCCACGGCTCTTCCCCTCGTTCCAGCCGGGCAATCAGGTCAGGTTTGGGAATGGGGAATACTGCGCAGGGGGTGAAATCAGGGAAGCTCAGGGCTCACGGAGTCTTGGTAGAGAATTTGTCACAAGGAACATTCCCTGAGTTTAACCTGACCCTACATGGGACTGTGGGAACTCAGACCCCTTGGGAGCAGCAGAGATCTGAGGGCACGGAGGTGTTGTTACACCCTCACTAGGAGGTCTCAGGGAAGATGAGCTCTGGGGGACTTGCTGACACACACACAGCTCAGGTGTTAAACTCCTGCCTATTTCCAAGCCTGCAGAACCTAGAGCCCTCCCCACGGATGGAGAAAGGTGAACGGGTGTGAAGGAAAAATAATACAGGCAGGACAATACCCTGCTTCTGATCCCCTGAAAGCTGGAAAGATGGGGATGAATTAGCATGTCCATTAGGTTTCTGAATTCCCTGTTCCCTTGAAGGGGGCATGTAGATGCAAATCTCTTCCTCTCTGCAGTTTTGAACAATGCGACCCTCCTCCCCCCAGTCCAACTGACCATGGAAGAACTTGACGAGATTCAGACGTGCAGACCCCACGGCATCTAAGAGCTGAGGGCACAGGAATCCCTTACCCATCACATAGTTCTCCTGCATGACATCCCTGTAGAGGGCTCTCTGAGCGGGGTCCAGCAGAGCCCCCTACCCCTGGGTGAAATACATAGCCACCTCTTCGAAGGTCACCGGCATCTGAAACATCAGTTTCCCCACTCAGCAACTGCAGCCCCAGCCAGAATCCCACTAGTCACAGGGGAGGAGGCCCAGAAAAGCAGAATCCCACCCACACCCTGCTCAGAGCAGCCAGGAGGCTTGAGGGGGTGGGAGACAGTGAGAGCTTCTTGTCCCCCCCAGCACACGGAGCAGGGCAGGGTCTTCTCATTTACCACAAACCTGCCAGGCACAGGCTGATACGGGAAGCAGAGCTCTGAGCCGGGGGCAGGGACAGGAATCCCGACAGCTTCCCTTCGTATTTCACAGCAGCCTCTGGCCAGTGGGGTGAGGATGCAGCTCTGGGAGTCTGGTCAGTTTTCCCAGCCCTGCCCAGGATTTTTTTTTTTTCCTGTTTCAGAAATGGGGGGAAATGGAATAGGCCTGTTCAGAAAATCAGGCCCAGGTTGAACCTGTCTCAGCAGGTTTATCACCCTGTCCCCTCTCTGCTTCACCCTGTCTGTTTCCTGGCCCTACCCCCCTACAACAACTTCCCTGAAAAATTCCCTACCTGAGCTGGCTCCATCACAGCCATTTCCCTTCCCTGTCCCCTGGAAGACAGGACAATCTGGAGTGAAACATGGACGGGATTGCTCAGCCTGTCAGGGCGAGAGGGGCGACAGGGGAGGTTTCAGAAGGGGCTGGAGTCCATTTCACACCCCGATTCCCCCCTTAGCTCTCTCCCTGCAGACAGACGCACTGGACTCTGCTACACTGGGTAAAACCATCAGTGACTTTATTACAACATAGACCGGCCCCTCCCACCAGGGCTGAACCCACAGGGGCACTTTTAAACCCTCCCAGGACAGAGTCCTGTAGCCAATTATTTTAGTTTTTTTGCCATTTATTGTTATGTTATGATTGTTATGATTAATTCATATGTTATGTCATATATAATCATTTTATGTTAAATAGAGTAAAATTGTAGGATTATAAAAGTATAAGGTTGATTAATAGTAGAAGGGATAGGTATGCATTAGGTATCTAAGTAAGCAGGATTGAAACACAAGGTCCACAGGCTGAAGCTTGTAAGATTTTAGCTTAGCCATATTAGGCCTTGGAGCAAAGAAATGCTGACCTCAGTATGTCACTGAGGAATGACCCAGTGCCACAAGTGGGTAATATTGTGAAAAATTGGCCAGAAGATTAATTTTAAATCACAAAAATGTTGTAATGGCATATCTGTCTGCAACATGTGTCTTAACCACAGGGTATAAATTGTGAATCAGTGCTAATGAGAATAAATAGAACCTACCTGACCAATAGAAATTGGGGTCCCTTGTGCTTCTGGGGAACACCAATCCAATAAGAACAAAGAGGGTTGACACTTTCATGAACGTGCACAGAATGTAGGTATAGTCGGACTCACCATATAAAAAGAGGGTGCCCAGATTAGGAAAACTGAATTCCCTGTAGTGTGACTGGGAGCGCATCCGCCACACTCGCCAAGACAGGGTTACACCCACCTTATGGATAGCAGAAGTCCGGCACCCTAGGCCAGACTGGGCATGCTCCAGATGCTGAAGCAGTCTAGAGGGAGGAAGCCAAGCTCATTCTGGGTTGGAGGCTGGAGAGAAAGGACCTGGGCTGGTCGGTCCTGCTGAGGACTGGCTACAGCCACAAGGACCAGCTTGGACCCTGCAACCGACAGAGTCCCAGAAGACTCGTGGACTGCCTCACCAGGGACAACGGCAGGAAGTGACCCAGGGAGGGTGATGGAGGGGTATCTCCCATCCAGGTAAGCTCAGCGTGTTTTAGTAGGATTCTCTGCTGAGCCAGTGGTTCTGCCACTGTTAGGGCCCTGGGTCTCCCCTACCTGGGCTGCCAGCCCCCCTTGCTGGTGGGTACTGGCCTCTAGGCCCCGCCACCCTGCACCAAAGGGCTGCGCGCTAGTAAGTCTGGCCACTAGGCCATGCTTCCCCAGGCACTGGGGCTATGGCCTTTGCTGTGGTCCTTGGACCCTGGGCTAGTGGGGTTGGACACAGACAAGCAAACTCACCGGTGGTGTCCACACACCCACTTCCCATCCCCTTTCGGGACAGGGTGTGCATACACCGTGACATATGGGAAAACTCCAGCAGGAACCATCCCTCCACTGATGATCAATCCATGAGAGACCTACAGACTGTAACACTATCTAGGAGGATGTGAGTATAACTATGTTTGTAACTCATGCATAGGTCTGTATGGAATTTCTGTATGCTTGGGTACTCATAACTTTAATAGTTACTTTAATAAAACTTGTAAAACGGCACTAGACCTTGTACTTGTGAATGTCTGTGTGGTCACTGCCCTTGGTCTTTGTGTTCCTAGAGATGGTAAATCTGAGGCAAGTAGCAGAGGTGACTTTCACTCTATTAAGCTTGAAACTGTAGCCACCAGAGCCGAACCCAGGGTGGTGTGATCCCACACACTAAATTCACTTTAAATAAAATAAAAGGCTACAGTCTCTAAGACAAATGCTAGAAAAGAGCAGAATCAAAGGAGCCACTTTGGGGGATTCCTCCTGACATTGGCCCCGAGGGCAGCGCGTGCCCCCCGCAGCGCGGGGACTCGGCCAGGGCAGGAACTGACTTTTCCTCTGACAGCTCCTCCCCTTGTTCCCAGGAGAGTCAGTCTGCCCAGGGGGATGCAGGGAATGGATCCGGGCAGGGCTGGGAGTCTCCCTCCCCACTTCTTGCTCCTGCTGCCCATTTTGGTCTCACCATTCCCCTTTCTGTCTCCTTCCCTCTCCCCTCTGCCTGGGAGAACTGGGGACTGTCCCGTTCCCATGGGCGTTCGCTCTCCAGCGTGAGCCTGGCTGTGTCACTGAGGGCAGCAGCTCTGGGACCTGCAGACACATGCCCTGAAAAGAGTCCTTTGTGCAGAGTCACTTTCCTGCCCGGCCCCAGCCCTTTCCCCCAAGCACCTGGAAACTCTGGCTCAAGAGCTGACATTGGAAGAGCCCCGGGGCTGCCCCAGGGGGCTAGTTCCAGGAACATCAAAAGTCCCCACCTGGGCTGGGCACAGAGGGGGCTTAATGAAGGTCTCTCCCTGGCACAGACCCCGCTGCGGGAGCAACAGCTGCTCAGTCCGGGCCCCAGATCACAACGCAGGAGGCAGCATCAACTGACCCAGGGAGCTCAATTAACTCCCGGGTGCTAATATCATGAGCAGACAGAGACAGACACCAGCCTCCTCTTCCATAGCAATAGCCAGCCCCCCAGCCCCCCTTATGAGGACAGTTCAGCAGCTGGGGATTTCATTTGCCCACCTGGACTCAGACCAGAACAGAACCAGAGAACCAGCTTGAACCGATATGCTTAACTGACCTGGAACCAGACTTGAACCATCATTTTTCATCTTAGGGCTTGGCTCCACTTGCGAGTTAGAGCGCATGGAAGGAGCCCCGGGCGCACTAGCTCACTACCCGTCCACACTGGCAAGGCAGGTAGAGCGCTCTGACTCCATGGCTAGAGCGCGGCTGGTACTCCACCCCGGCCAGTGGAATAACGTTCTGTGCACCCCGGCTGGAGCGCCGCGGCGCCAGTGTGAATTGAACTCAGGGAAAAACGGCTACCAGTTACAACAAAGTTTCAGCAGTTTTTCAGCTCAATATTTGATAAAACAAAACCTACTCTGATCTCACTTTCATTGTAAAACAAGACAACAAAACAACACCCAGGCATGTGAACAGCCTGTCCCGGTAGAAGGAGAAGAGAAGGGGGCAGCCCACAGGAGCAGGGAGTGGGGGGGGGCAGACAGGTGGGGGGCTCCCTGCCCCAGGAGTTAACATTAACTCTTCAAGCTCAAGGGAAAAGGCTGCTCAATTCTTCTTCCCCTTAGA